GGAGAGAGAGATGGAGGAAAGAAGGGAGGAAGGAAGGAAAGAAGGAAGGAAGGAAGGAAGGAAGGAAGGAAGGAAGGAAGGAAGGAGAAAATAGAAGAAAATCTATCAAATCCTTTGCTCGTTTTTAATTGGCTATTTGATTTCTTGCTGTTGCTTTGCATGAGTCCTTACAAATTTTATAACTCCTTGTTCAATGTGTGGTTTAAAACATTTTCTTCCATCTGTAGAGTGTCTCTGCTTTATCGGTCATCTTTCTGTGCAGGGAAGGTTTTGTTTGGTGTAGTTTCATTTGTCTACGCTGCATTGTTGACTGTTAGGTATCACATCCAAAACATTGCCAGCCATACCAATGTTTGTTTTTTCTAGTACTTTCACAGTTGGGGGACTTCCATGTGAGTTTTTAATCAATTTGAGCTGTCTTTTGTATATGGCATGAGACCTTAGTCCCATTCCGTTGTTCTCCTCATGAACATGCATTCAGTAAAGGAACTTTGACCATTTCCTGGCAGTGTGTTTCTGGCACCTTTCCTAGGACCAGCGGGCTACAGGAGGTTGAGATAGTTTCTGAACTCTGGGCCCCCTGCTTTCACGGTGGTAATTTACCCTTTGGTCACTAGGGCTCACAAGTATGTTCTGAAGCCATGTGGTTGATTCTCAACCTTGTGTTTTGCTTATTTGCTTGCTTGTTTTGTTTTTTAAGATTCTGGGCTGCTTGGATCCTATTTTTGTTTCATGTGAATTTTTAGGACTTTTCTATTTCCGTGAAAAGAATTGAAACTTTTATAAGGATTGTGGTGAATTCAGAGGTTATCGGGGGTCATGAGGACATTTTAACAATATTCTTCTAGTCCTCAAATACAGGCTATTTTTTCATTTATTTGTATCTTCTTCAATCCTTTCAACAGTATTCTTCGGTTTTCAGTGTACAGGTTTTTCACTTCCACAGTTAAAATTATTCTAAACACACGCTTGCTGCTGTTGTTAAGTCGTGTTTCAGTTTCTCTTCAGAGCATTTCTTAGAATATGGAAACCCTAAAGCACATTCAGTATGTCAGCAGTAAAAGTAAAAAAGAGATTTTTCTATCTTTCAATAAAAAATAGAGAAGCATCATTTTCTTTTTCTAATTAAAAAGTATCACTACAATTGACATCATGAAGATAACCTACTGCAAAGTCTTAAAAACTTAAATTACGGGCTGGAGAGATGGCTTGGAAGTTAAGAGCACCAGCTACTCTTGAAGAGGACCTGGGTTTGCTTCCCAGCACCCACATGGTGGCTAATGACCACCTATAACTCCAGTCTCAGGGGATCCAATGCCTTCTTCTGGCTTCTGTGGGCATTGCACGACATGGGTGCATTTACACACATGCAGGCAGTATACTCATACACATAAAATAAAAAAATAAATAAAATATTTCTAAAAACTTTAATTTTCCCACATACTAGTAAACTAGTGACTGGTGAAAATACATTGCTTAAACTCAATTATAAGTCTTGTCTAGTCTCAGATACAGAATGGCTGACTTAGATTGTTTTAAAACTCACCACTTCACTATTTTTCAGTCCTTTTTTAAAATAACTAATTTACTGAGAATTTCATACATGCACATAAGGTGTTTTGATCAAATCCATGCCAACGCCCTCCCCTCCAACTCCTCCCATATTTCCCCATCACTTTTTTTCTGATAACTTCATGTGCTCTTTCTCCTTCTTCTTCTTTATTTTTTTATGGGGCTTTTGGCTGCTCTAACATCCCCCCTTCTGAAGAGGCAACCCTAAAATCTTTTAAGGATTAGATACAAGCCCCCAAATACTTTTGACATTTTTGGCCTTTGGAACAGAGTATGTTTCTAAGAGGCCCAAGGACATTTTGACTTTTAGCCAAGAAACTGGCTACTTTTCTTTGGGGTCTTTTTACCCTAACTGCCTAGCCAATTCCTACCTCCTATTCTTATCACACCATCCTCTGAAGAGGTTACCCAAATTGCCAACAGGGAATAGCGATGCCGACCACTCTGGCTTCTTCCATGCTGAACA